GCAGCACATTTATAAAAGCCCATGGTGGTCATATGACAAACTTGGAACTTGACCTGATTGAGGAACTTAGTGAAATCCTCCTAGCTCCTACTTTTCTATTTTGATTTACAATGTTACTCATTAGTTGTAATGCATGCTTACTTACACTAAACTTTTCAATCAAGTGCTTGAGAAAGTGAAAAAATCTACTTACATTTAGTATAGGAATGGCAGGTGGTTAAAATGGAAGGTTCAGCCCTTCTTATTTGCTATTATTCCTTAATCTTACTTGTTTTTATGTCCTTCCCTTCCTATCTTCATCTTTGTTTTTCTTTAAAAATATATCTTTATTGATTTCAGAGAGAGGAAGAGAGAGATATAGAAACATCAATGATGAGAGAGTCATAATTGATCATGCATGCCCTCCTGCATGCCCCCAACTGGGGATCGAGCCCCCAACCTGGGTATGTGCCCTGACTGGGAATAGAACCCCAATCTCCTGGATCCTAGGTCGATGCTCAACTGCTGAGCCACACCCAGCCAGGCCATCTTTGTTTTTCTTACCATAATATCTTTTGGTTCTTCACTAATTTTCTTTCCTAACATCCACCCATTTCCTCTTTGCTTCCTTTGTCTTACTCTCCTTATAATAATAAATGTGTCTTGAAAACCTACTACAGTGGTACCTCGGTTTTCTAATGTAATCTGTTCTGGAAGACCGTTCGAGTTCTGAAACATTCGAAAACTGAGGGATCAACAGCCGACAGCTAGGCCTCAGGATCTTGCCCTCAGCAGAAGCCATGTGGCATGTTCAACTTCCGAGGGATGTTGGAAATCGAAGCATTTACTTCTGGGTTTATAGCATTTGTAACCCAATATGTTCATTAATGGAGACGTTTGAAAACCGAGGTACCACTACTGTATTTGACAGTAGGGGTTCTGCTGTTAGGTACCCTGTAGTCACATCTTATCTTTCTTCCTTTTCTCTTCTAATCACACACCATTATGCCTCTCTTTATGTGCCCACTACCACACTTTCTTACCCATCTATATACTCCTCTATTTGTAATTACAGTACATATACATATACACATACATATATATATAAAATGAGTGTGTGAGTGTATATATATGTATATGATTTTTTATTAACATTATTGGGGTATAAGTGATATATATGAAACTGTATATCTTTTAAATGTACAAATTAATAAGTTCTGGCACACATATATATACATCTGTGCAACCAACATTACAACCAAGATAATGAATATATCCATCACCTCCAAGTTTCTTTGTGCCCTCCTGCTTAACTGTTCCCTTCCAAAAAACTACTGATCTGCTGTCATTACAGATTACAGGTAGTCCCTTGCTTTTGCACAGTGGTATGGTACTGTAAAAATGTGCAAGCAGAAACCGTGAAAAACAATCTTAATAATCAATGGGGAAAATTATGATTGTTCAGTGACCCTTAAAATTTTTGTCCAAACATTAAAAACTTATTGTTGGCTATAAATATATAGGGAAATAAAAAACAGTAAAACAAATGTGTATTAATAGACTATAATTTGAAACATTGAGAATTTAAAGTCTTCTTTATAAAAACTTAACAAGAGTAGCGTGTTTAGCCCGGCCGGGAGTGACTCAGCGGTTGAGCGTCGACCTAGGATCCAGGCAATCAGGGTTCGATTCTGAGTCAGGGCACATGCCTGGGCTTGATCCCCAGTCGGGGGCATGCAGGAGGCAGTGGATCAATGACGATTCTCTCATCATTGATGGTTCTCTCTCTCTCCCTCTCCTTTCCTCTCTCTGAAATCAATAAAGATATATTTTTTTAAAAAAGAGTAGAGTGTTTGACTTCTTTTCATTGCATAACTTATGATACAGAGCAAGAGCCTTTTTTATGCCTTGACAAATTGTCACACTCCCTTCTAAATTTAGATCAGTTTCTAACATTTGGTCCTTTGTGCTTTCAACGTTGTAAAATATTTCTCAGAGTTCTTTTAATGTGCAGTTTTTGCTGGCACCATTTTCTCTGGGATATCTTTATTCTTTTCACCACAATCACTTTATTTATGTCCATAAGTTCACCTTCACTAATTCCTCTGGCTGCATATCTAGAGCCTCTCAACAACAGTGTATCCACATTCCCACAGTCAGCTATTTATTCTATAACTACATTTCATTTAATTCAAATTTCTCTTCCAGTGTTGTCACTTTTTATTTCTTTAACTGTTTGTTGGAACTCTCCAGGAAAATCCTCTGGGCCTGGAGGTATTTTTAGGGAGAGTTGTTAATTAAAAATTCAATTTCAGCCCAGTCGGGCGTGGCTCAGTGGTTGAGCGTCGACCTGGGATCCAGGCGATCAGGGTTTGATTCCCGGTCAGGGCACATGCCCGGGTTGCGGGCTCGATCAATGACTCTCTCATCATTGATGTCTCTATCTCTCTCTCTCCCTCTCCTTTCCTCTCTCTGAAACCAATAAAGATATATTAAAAAAAAAATTCAATTTCATTAATAGTTATAGACTATTCAAATGATCTATTTCAGAGTGGGTCAGTTGTGGTAATTTGCTCAGGTAACCCTCAGGATGGCAGAAAAAAGATAACAGAGAAATAAAATACAGAATAAACACACAATAAAATAAAATAAAAATAAAATAGACTGGCCGGGCGTGGCTCAGAAGTTGACCTAGGATTCAGGCGGTCAGGGTTCGATTCCCAGTCAGGGCACATGCCCGGGTTGTGGGCTCGATCCCCAGTCGAGGGTGTGCAGAAGGCAGCCAATCAATGACTCTCTTATCACTGATGTTTCTATCTCTCTCTCTCCCTCTCCTTTCCTCTCTCTAAAGTCAATAAAGATATATTTAAAATAAATAAATAAAATGGCAGACTTAAGCCCTAGTCAATAATTACAGTAAGTGTTAATGGTCTAAACCCCTTAAGAGACAGAGATAGGCAGAGTGGATTAAAAAACATGACCTAGCCCGGCCGGGTGTGGCTCAGCGGTTGAGCGTCGACCTAGGATCCAGGCGATTGGGGTTCGATTCCCGGTCAGGGCACATGCCCAGGTTGCGGGCTGCAGCCGATCAATGACTCTCTCATCACTGATGTTTCTATCTCTCTCTCTCCCTCTCCTTTCCTCTCTCTGAAATCAATAAAGATATATCTAAAAAAAACAAAAAAAACATGACCTAAATATATGCTGTCTACAAAATCACACTTAAACTATAAGCATATAAGTAAGTAGAAAGTAAAATAAAGGAGAAAGATATATAATGCAAACATTATTCCAAAAAATGAAGGAGTGACTATATTAATTTCAGATTATCTGGTTCCTTATATGAATGTTTTTTTTACTGAAACTTGCACATTTTGGGTCTTATGCTATGAGACTCTGGATCTTTAAAGCTTCTGCTGTGACTGGCTTCCTCTGACACTGCTCTGGCTGGAGATCAGGTTAGGGGGGGATATCACCTCATTACTACTAGGTGGTTACAGAAGTTCTGATTCACCATTTGGCCTCTGTTGACATCCAAGGGGCAGGGACTCTCTGTTACGGCTGGGTGAGGCTGGGAGTTCTGGTTCTCCATTAAGCCTCCACTGATACCTCTCTCACTGGAATTGGAAAAAGCACCTTACTCCTGCTCCATATGTGGCCTCCTCCATTGACATCAAGGGAGGAGGAGGTGCTTTCATTAAAACTGGGAAGTGGTGAAAGTCCTGACTTTCTATTAAGTCTCCTCTAATGCTACCCTAGATGGGAAGGAGAGGGATGCATCATCACTGCCAGGTTGAGGTGGAAGTCTAGGCTCCCCACTGTTACTACTATGGTATATAAAAATACTGACAACAGGACATAAAAATGCCTGACTCTTGTATTCATTCATGATGCTGTTCTAATTTTTAGGAGGCAGGAAAAATGGTGTAGATGATGATGAGCTAGTAAGGCTCAGGATGTGTGTTGGGAAAGACTGGAGTTTTCCTTAACAGAGACAGTCTCTCTGTCGGTGGGACAGCCTAGGCTTGGGTTTCTAGAAGTGATTCAACAAGCATTTTTTCTGGACCATGACCAGGACCTAAGAACCTGGTGCTAGGGAAAGAGAATTCAAGGATGTGACCTCTGCCCTTTATGAACCTAATATGTACTAGAAATAGATGTACAATGAGATGTATAATTTCTCATAGTAAGCTGTCCCACCAGCCCCTTTATCTGTTGCTATCCTATCCCTTCCCTTCGCTTCCCTTCCTCTGCCCTCCCCTCTCTTACGTCACTCACTCACTCACTCACTCACATACTAAGCATTTTATTTCATACCAGCCTTTGTGAGAAGCACTGGAAACACAAAGATCAGTAACAAAAAATGGCTTCCCAAACCAGTCATTACTCTTGAGATGAACTTACTACTTCCTCTGGCAGAAAAGTCCTCTCCCCTTTCCACAAAACCCAAATCCTCTTCTACTTAAACTTTCTTCTCAAGTCTTTGCAACTGAAGGTTATGTGCTTGTAGTCAACTCAATTATTACAGTTATCCCCTTCCATCTGTGTTTATGCATTTTGCAAACTCTAAATGTTTTGGCCTTCTATTAATAGATGCTATCACTATAAGGTCCCAATTATAAGGAAACGACTTCTCATGGGGTTATGTATTAATAGGGTTATTATGGGGTTATACAATTAATGCTCTGTTTTTCCTCAAAGACTAATAAATGCTATTGATTATTGAGTCAGATCTGGAAATCCTGGTCTCCATAACCTTATCACATTTCAGGTTGGACCTCAAACAGTTTTATCCTATAAATAGACACATATTTTTTTCCCTAAATAAATGAGCTTGGCTTTCATTACTAACCTATCCTAGCCTGGTATACTCTGCCACTGGTCTGAGTGAACTGGTGAATGTGGCATATGATTTTGTATTATAAATGTGTAATTAGCCACTGAAAGTCTCTCCCCAAGCAGCACACAGATAACCATAAGAACATTCATTCCCTAAGTCAAAGATGCAAGCATGCAAATACCTGAGGGAAGGCTGTGGAAGAGTGTCTGGATTGGCTGGTACCTGGACTCCCTTTTCCCATTCTTCTTTCCATGTATCCGTAAAGAGGTAATAGCTGTCAGGATTAATGTGGTGAGAATCTGAAAGTTTCATGGCACTGATGAGATCCTTTCGGAATACCTGGGAAGACATTGCACACATCACAAAGGAACTAAAACCATTTAATGTTATTTTAAAAAGATCATCCCCACCAAATCTATACTTCAACAAGAGAGACATCTCTAACTTCTTATATGGCCAGATCAACTCTTATTTGGAAAGGGTTTGAAGTGTTGACAGGGAAGCCAGCTAGTTCTGGATTTAATAAAGAGTAAAGGGGTTCTTACTGAATTATTTTCTTGTGTTCCTTGAATTTAAATTAACAATACAGGTAACTCTAAAACAGTTTGTATAAAACAAGCAAGCCTTAACCCTCTAAAATTAAGCAACAAGTATCCCCTGATAAACTTATAATTGTTTATCTAGCCATCACCTTATTTTGGATTATTTATGCAGAAATAATTTTAGACTTACAAAATGTTACAAAAATAGTACAGAGCTCCCATACACTTTTCACATAGTTTCCTTTAATGTTAACATTGTATATAACCAGTATACAATTACCTAAACCAGAAAATTAACATTGTTACAATACTATTAATTAATTTACATACCTTATTCAAATTTTACTAGTTTCCCCCCTAGTGTCCTTCTGTTCCAGAATTCAATCCAGGACCCCACATTGCAATTAGTTGTTATGCCTCTTTAGTATCCTCCAATTTGTGACAGTTTTTCAGTCTTTCCAGACCTTGACACTACTGAAGATTTCTGTTCATGTATTTGATAGACTGTCCCTACAATTTCAGTTTGTGTGATGTTTTCTTATGATTAGTCTGAGGTTACTTATTTTTTGGCAAAATACACAGAAATGACGCTGTGCCCTTCTCATTACATTATATTAGGGATATGTGATGCCATGATCACTGGGTTAAGGTAGATCTTGCTGGTTACTTCCACTGTTAAGATTACTGCATTTCCCTTTGTAATTAATAAATATCTTAGAGGAGATACTTTGAGATTATAAAAATATCCTGTTTCCAGATCAGGACCAGAAGCATGGATACATGGAACAGACTGACAGATCTCACAGGGGAGGGGGTGGAGGGGACTGGAAGAGATTAATCAAAAACATAGATGCAAAGCGCCATGGACACAGAC